TTTTCCACGGTTTATGTAATGGCTCACTGCTCAGTAAGTAGAGATTGAAGTGAGCTGAAAACAAGGCCCTCGTCATGGGAGATGGATGAGAGGGGGGGGGGGGGGGGGGGCATCACAGTCATTGAGAGTTGAGCTAACGAGAGGAAGAAGAAACATGCCATCGTTTACTTGCTTGGAGCTCCTCTTGTGTTTGGGGCTCAACTGCCCCAAAAGAAGCAAATAAACTATTCACACAGGAATTAAAGGACAGAGAGACAAGAGTAACATATGAAAGATGACGAACACAAACCTGAGTCATCCTCACTCACTGCATCTCACAGATCTCACAGAAATTATCTTTACCTCTTTTTTTGTGTGAGAACGCCAAGTCCAGGTCGACGTTTCTCCGTCCGCTCTGAAAGCAGAGACAGAATCAAATGAAAACACAACGTCAACGCTGGGCAGCGTTCGACGAAATGACCCAAAATAAATATCACGGCGCTGTTCACTTGTTGAAAGGTCTGCCTTTGTTTCCAGTGACTTATCGTTCTTGTATAATAGAGCGTGGACCTGAGCTCATCTGCACCCGGCCCGGTTCGGCTGAGGTTCTGTCACGTTGGCTGGGCTCTCAGTGAAAACACACAATAACCATGTGTGGCAGCGACGGAGCAACACGAACTCAGAGAAGCTAAAACATTTTGGGTCGGGCTCCTTTAGTTTTCTCTCGTTCAGGTTCAGATGGGTTGTAACCCGACTTGGTCTCTATCGCATGATACTGTAGTTTCCTGTAGTTTGATTTCAAACTGAGCCAACAGAGGTTTCCTCTCCTGCGGTCGCCTCGGTGCCCTGGTTCCAACACTCGTCTGTTTAAAGTGCCTTTGACTCTTTAACTGATCAGTTTGGCTGCTTCCTTTCATCACATGACTTGCATGAAGGCAGCGGCCCATATAGTGATTATGTTTTACTTTTTAATCTGCTAGTGATAAGCTGCATCAGGACAAGTATTCAGAGGAAGTACACATGTTAAACACAGATCATATCAGTGAGTGTGTGACAGAGTCTGATTTACCAGAGTGTAGCCCTCTTCATCTGACTCGGGCTGCGAGAGATCAGACTCACTCCTGGACTTCATCAGTCTGTAACTCGGGCTGCTCTGCACCGAGCGGCTCTCTGCACTTAGACTCTCGCTCCTGCACACAGACACATCATCATCTTCATCAGTGACAATACAACAGATTCAATCATAGCAGAAACTAGAGCATCCCTCGGAAGAGCTCATATCTCCACCAATGAGCAGCAGGCTCTTTATGAAAGTTTGAATTGGATCTGCATGAAATGACACACACTCATGAACATCAGTCCCCTCAACATGTCAGATTTTTACACTGAGATCCATGAATCATTCACGACAGCATCTTATTCTCCACCACAGGTTCTGTGGACTGATCGAGCTTCACCGAACTTTGAAACAGGTGAGCAGCTCTTTGTGCAGCAGAAAGAAAAGGTGCAGCCAGCATCACCACTAAAGCACTAACTTCACAATGCCAGCTCTTTCCTCTTTCCCAGATTAGTAGTTTTTTTCCATTAGGTTCGAGCTTAAACTCTTGGAATGAAGTTTTTTGCTGCTGTGATTCCTCCTGTTCATTGTGTCTGTTGAGAGACGCTTCTTAAAGAGATCAGGGTCAGAGGAGCTGAACAAATAAGAGATGATGTGATGATTCAGCAGTCTGACAGACAGTACTTTATTATTCTGTCGCCACAGCTCAGCAAAAAACACAAACAGAGCATTTTGCAGTAAAAAACACAAACTTTGGAAAGTACCCAGTGTATTTGTCAAAGTGTGACCACGTCACAGCCCTTCATTTACACACGTGTGGGAGAGCTGCCGGTTCTGTGACCGATCTCTAAATCTGGAACAGTTTCAGCAGCAGATTTTGATTTATCACAACGAAGCTGCTTTAATAAACAGAAACAGGGTTTCTACACGTTTCAACATGTGACATTTAAAACTCTATACGATCATGAGGAATGTGATTAGAATGAATGATGAGGTGAAGTTGAGTAGAAAATAACCCTGGAGACACCAGAGACAGCAGGTGTCCACTTGTTCTGAGATCAGGTGAGAACCACCCAACACAGAGACGTTACAAACCCTAGAAACAAACTTACTTTAAAGCTTGACAGAAGAAGTGTTAAATGAGGGTTGACATAATTAAGACATAAACCTCTTTATGACCTAGTGCGTAATATTTGAACATATTTAGACTATTTAAAGCTGATTTTTGAATCAAACCCCTCAGAAACCCTGAGTAAGCAAGTGTCATGAGTTATTTTAAGACTTATATTTTGTTATAGTTTAAGAGCATTGGGAGACGGTTGAAAACCGGTGGCACCGGTGGTGAGACAATTAACCAGTTGACAGATAAGTGAGCTGTAGTCGGTGCTCTGACCTGGTCATGAAGCTCAGACACTCGTGTGTTCCTGTGGCGGACTGGGTCTGGCCCTCCTCCTGGTTCTGTTTGCTCAGCTCGCCGAGCACGGGGCTCACCCCCAGCAGCAGCAGGGCACAGCGGTGGATCACCGAGTTGCAGGCTGCTGTGTACAGGTCCTGGCCCTCTGGGAGACCAGAACTGCCCCTCCTCCCCTCCTGAGACAGAATGGCGTCCTCGTCTCCACCTCCTCCTCCTCCTCCGCTCCTGGAGACAGAGCCGGAGCCCAGGCCTGTACTGCTGCTCGCCCGCTCTCTGTCCCGACTGCGAGCTACCTCCCGTGCTGAGAGGAAACATTGAAAGATTTCTGTGTTGTGCGATACGTGCACACAAACACACAAAACACAGAAAATGCCGGGTTAGAGGAAAAGCAGCAGCTGCATGAAGCAGGCAGGGTTTACGAGAGCGCAACATTAAAAACCAAAGCTCATGCAAACGCAACAAACCAACATGTGTTTGACACTGTCGCATTCACCGGAGAACAACTGAGGCGGATTTTATCACAACCATGAATATTTAATTTTACATTGATGGATTTTCGTTTTAAGATGAATAATCTCCGTCCACGACAACGTGCCTGGCAGCCTGATCACATGTCCATTCAAATATACTGGGCATGTGTATGTCTACAGACGCGGTCGCAGAACGCTAACAGCTCACCTGCTGCACATGTTGGTGGTTGGAGTTTTATAAAATGAGGAAAGTAACAGTACAGCAGCTGCTAGAAAAGAAAATTCAGCAAGTTTCCATGTTGTATTCACGAGAGCCGGACTGATCCGTGGATTTGAGCCTCTGACGGACTGAATGTTTGTTTTACAGACGCAGTCAGGATGTGCTTTTATATTTATATAAAATAAAGGTAATTTTCTTCAGCTTAATATATTTGTATTGTACATGTAGTTTGTTAATTTATTCAAAGTGTTTTAAAATAAGGTTTAAGGTTAAACTGTAAAATATCAAACCTAAATTACATTCCTTTGTCATAAGGGGTTAATAACGACATCTTAGGAATGATTGACAATTTTATATTTTTTCAAATACGGATGATGTTTTAACAATATGCATAATCAGTATTTACATTTCACCAGCCTCTAAAATCCAGCTCTGGAATTCACTGCTGGTAGTCGCGACTGATGCCGTTTGTTTTATTTTGGAAAGTGTCACGTGTTAGGAGCGTGACGAACAAGGGGACGTCGTGACTGATTACTTCATGAAACATTACACATGCTTATCATGCTGTGAAACCACAATATGTTGTTTCCATGAAAATAACTCAACAACTTTGTCGTCCTGATTTGTGTGGGTCTTAACAACTGTCCAAACTTCGGCAGTAACAATGAGAGAAATGTAAATGAAGCACTTACCCAGCTGCACATTCTCAGGATTACAAGTCAATGTAATTATTTACTTATAATATTAACAAACGGAATAAACTTCCCTTTCAGCAGAACTAACGGGACACAGAGCCAAACATCTTGGAAAAGATATTTGTGATTTGCACAAATAAAATATGGCAATTTGCATAAAAAGCCACGACTCTGGGCAGATGTACGTACTTCCAGCTGTCATCACTTCATGCTCCCTGTCCTCCTCTTCATCGTCTTGTTCCTGATGGCCCTCCTCTCTCTCGCGGTCGGCTCTCTCTTCCAGCTCCGCCTCCTCGTCGATGGTGCGTGTGAACGAGTGCTCCTGAGGGTCCATGTCCAGAGAGTCCTGATTGTCTGAAATCTGTCACCAAATGACAAACGATGAGTGATGGGGGACATCTGTTGTGTGTGTGTGTGTGTGTGTGTTTAGTGTGTGTAGTGTTTCCTCACCCTCCTCTCACGTGAAGAAGACCGGGTCTGGATGAAGTCCATGTTCTTACAGGCCAGCAGACGGTTTCGTACCTTATAAACACTGCGATAGACTTCAGCAAGGGACTTAGAAGGTTGGTACCTGAGGGAAATATTGTATTATATTACTAAATATGACTTTTAGTATTATTAAGTCATACATTTGGTAGGTTTTGCTCCGCAGCCCTGGCTTTGTTAGGGGATTAGATGCTAGCAGTGCATTATGCAATAAGGAGCACATCACAATGATGCGGAGGTTTGGGTCTGTTAAACTTTTACATTCACAAAAAAACTTTAGAACACCCTACAGGAAAGACAAAGGAGGAAAGGTTTCAGTACCTGCCCTCTCCACAGGCTTGGCTCAGCAGCCCTGTGTGCTTCAACAAGGATGCCAACACGAACCTGGACACAGTGTCCAACAGAGACTCGTTACTGAGAGACGCATTGTCCCAGTCTGCAACAGGAAACACATCACAACCACCGTCAGATGCATTTCAAGGCTAATTACTCCAGCAGAGAGAAAATGAGACTCCGGAAATTCATGGTCAGACCTTTGCTGATGGCATAGTCTTGCATGTTGATCCAGAGGCTGTTGGCAGGTTCTTTAGAAGAACCCAGAGACAAATCCACCAAGACACTCGAGTCCGGACGCAGAGTGCAGTCAAAGGGCTTCTGCTCTTCATTCCCAGACAGCGCTGCCTCCAACAATGAGCTGATGCAGGTGTCTGAAGGACGAAGGCAAAATAAACTCATCATCTCAACATGTCCCAGAGGAAACAACAAGTGAGTCCACTGAGAACAGATCAAGATCCCACTGGGATAACATGTTGTTACCAGCGTTACTCATTTCAAAAGGACTTGAGCTCGGCGCTGCTTCCTACCAAGCTGAGGGATGTCCATCACCAGGCCGTTGCTGAAGAGGGGCGTTTTGAGCCAGTAAGCAGTGTCCTGTTCCTCCAGCGAGGTCGGAGCTCCCTGAAGCATCCCACCAAGGCAGCGGCCAACCAACAGGGCGACTGTCCTCTCCAGGTCCACGAGCCAAACCCAGGACAGCGCCGGCTGAGGCAGGGACATACCTGAGGACGGCTCAGCAAAGTCAGATGCACCTGCACAGTTTAAAAAGGGAATGGACCAAATAAATTCACTGCAGTGTTTCCTGTGGATCAAGAGGTTTGGCGTGGGGGCAACATGATTAAACACCCTAAGTAAGAGGGTTCGAACCCTGATGCAGTCCTTCAATAGTTTACAATACATTCAAATGTTATCCTTGAATTAAAGTGAGATTGAGAAACGCAAATAACCAAAACACCAGGAGTCAGAGTTGGTGCAGTAGTGACGTCCCACGATACACTGGCTCTATCAGGACTCAGCTGTCAATCATGACGTGTCAGCTCGTCTTTACATCATCAAACAACAACAAGTTTGGTCCATGTCCCATCTGCTAACATGGAGGAGGTGCGGCTGTACATCAGTCAGCGACTTGGGAGCGATCAAGATAACTTGGCCTCGTCTGTAGGGAGCCACGGTGTCATCGATCGTTACATACGGTCGGCGGTGAGACTGTGTTGAGCTCTGAATCTCACCGTGAAGAGGCCACTGCAGCTCTTGGTCCTCCAGAGGAGACGCAGCAGGCAGGAGTCTGTTGAGTCTGTCCAGAGGAGGCAGCAGGTCCAACAGGTGGCTCAGCAGAGGCCTCGCCACCGACACCGGAAGCAGCAGCAAAGAGTTGATGATCTGGCACAGCATGCTGCCTGCGGCTGAGACGTAGATCACATCTGCAGACGAGATCAGATTTTCAAGTTTCAAAAATTCAAAGGATCAATGACAAGTGAATGAAAAGACAGTTTTTGAGAGTGTTTGGATCAAATGAGGAGAAAACGTACGGGGGATTAAAAGATAAAGGGAATAAATGATCTCTTTAGTTAGGTATCAAACTAATTAACCTGAATTGAATGAACCTTGTGTCTGAGTTGTGTTTTTGTTTAACTTTGAATTAATGTCCAATACAAACCTACGTGCATTGACTGACAGATAAGAAGTGTTTCAGAAACAAATGACTAATCCTGTCTTTTACAACATGGGCTAAAAACATTCATATAATAAAGTTTAAAAGTGGAGACTTCACGAAAGATCTATGGAGAAACAGAGATAATAAAAGTGTTTTACTTTGACAAGACTGAAGTGGAAAGAGGGAGAGGTGAGGAGACATGTCTTCCTCACAGAAAAGTAATTTTCACCTTGTAGTTTTTCTCGTATGCTGCCGTTCCAGGAGCTCTCTTTGATCAGCGTGGCTGAGCGGGAGTAGATGTCTGTGGCGTGCGGCAGCAGGAGCTGCAGGTGCTTGTGAAGTAAAGCTACGCTGCTGGAGTTCTGATGACAAACAGAGCGAATTCAATGATTCCATTAAAACAACGAGTTCATTTATATGTTATAGAAAAATGTTACATCAAAAAAGATGAAGGCAGATTAAAGCCACTGCTGCTGCTGTAATGTGAACTCGATCATGATGCACTCCTGGTTCAGGTGACTCAGCAGAAGACATAACATGACATAACATAAGAGATCTCAGACTTGGTGTTTTGCACTGTTGCTGCATTGTGTATCGTGGGTGAGAGTGTGTGAGGGTCCTTACCTCAGTGACCGAGTTAATGTGGCAGTACGCTAACAGCTGCTTCTGCAGGGAGCACAGGAGCTGGTGGAGGTGAGCGGGCTGGCTGCTGTCGGAGGACGACGTGCCCTGCTGCAGCTTATCACTGTTCTTCTCCAGCTCCCCGAAGGCCTGATCCTGTTTAACACAAAAACCAGACATGAACAAGTGCCGGCTCGCAGATATCTCAGATGTAAAGGGCAACTTCAAGGTTAATTTATTCATCTAAACACGCTTCTCACTTTACTGAACCAACTGTTTCCATTCACACAACAGGCATGTAACATGTTCCAGTGCACATGAGCAAGCATGAGATAATTCAAGAGGTGAAAGCTCCGAGTTCATTTGCTTGTATAATCTGGATTCCTCGTATCTTCCAATTTAGACCACAGTTACTGGTTTTGTCGAGCTACATTTCTTAATCTGAATGTGGCTTTTCCATTCGCAAATGTCTCACTAGAAAAACCTTTGAGTTGTGGAAATGATGAAACAAAAAGGAAAAGAACAGAAAACAAAGCCAAGGGCTGAAAGAAATGAGTCAGCTGTAGAAAGCCTGCAGCATAATTACACACACTTGAAAACAGCATCTTTGTTTTATTTTTAGGGACAAAATTCAGACTAAAGACCAGTTAACTGGAAACAGTTCGTCCAAACAGGGACGATATCTGTGTCCGCAACTGGGAAAAACACTAATAAATGGGCTCAGTGGTTCTGGTTAGAATTAAGTCTCCAGGAGTTTAATGAAAGTCTATGTAACGTCCCTAGAAGCGATCTGTGCGGGTGTTTACTTGTACTTCTGTCTTTATGAGGACCAGTGTAAGTTTTAGACCTGAGGAAGTGAGGACATTTGGACACATCTTCAGAGGACCGCTTGACGTTTGAGACTCAGGCTACATCCACACACAGGAAGGAAACGATCTCTGTTCACAAGAGGATTTTAGCTTCACATCAATAATCCCCGTCCACACCACCTGTGTATGTCTGTGTGTCTCTGTGTGTGTGTGTGTGTGTGTGT